AATTTGTGTTTAGGTGAAGACTTTTCTAGATGATAGTTGTGAAGCATATAAAACTGATGTTTCAGGTCCTAACTTGTGTTTAGGTGAAGACCTTTCTAGATGACAGTTGTGAAGCATATGAAACTGATGTTTCAGGTCCTAACTTGTGTTTAGGTGAAGACCTTTCTAGATGAAAGTTGTGAAGCATATAAAACTGATGTTTCAGGTCCTAACTTGTGTTAGTGGTAAAGACCTTTCTAGATGACAGTTGTGAAGCATATAAAACTGATGTTTCAGGTCCTAATTTGTGTTAGAGGTAAAGACCTTTCTAGATGACAGTTGTGAAGCATATAAAAACTGATGTTTCAGGTCCTAAGTTGTGTTTAGGTGAAGACCTTTCTATATGACAGTTGTGAAGCATAAAGAACATGGTGGATTACAAAGTTTTTTAAAATCCTTTTAAATTTTAACACAGTTATACCAGATGTTGACACAAACATATTTGAAAATGTTTAGTTTTACAAGGAATTGTTGACACAGAAACTTACTTGAAAATGTTTAGTTTTACCAGGAGTTGTCGACACAGAAACTTTTTTACTTTTTAACAAGGCATTGATTGTAGAGCTCTTCCCAACATTTGGATAACCCACCTGTAAAGAAGAAGAAAAAAGTAGAATTAAATAGAAAAATGTAACTTTAATATACTTGGTATTCTCAAGGCCACTTCAACGGTTCAGAGGCCCGTGTTAAGGAAATCTATGGATAGTTACTTGATATTCTCAAGGCCACTTCAACAGTTCAGAGGCCCATGTTAAGGAAATCTATGGATAGTTACTTGGTATTCTCAAGGCCACTTCAACGGTTCAGAGGCCCGTGTTAAGGAAATCTATGGATAGTTACTTGGTATTCTCAAAGCCACTTCAACGGTTCAGAGGCCCGTGTTAAGGAAATCTATGGATAGTTACTTGGTATTCTCAAGGCCACTTCAACGGTTCAGAAGCCAGTGTTAAGGAAATCTATGGATAGTGTTGTGAAATACAACAACACATGAAATACAATGTAACTTTAATATACTTGGTATTCTCAAGGCCACTTCAACGGTTCAGAGGCCCGTGTTAAGGAAATCTATGGATAGTGTTGTGAAATACAACGTACACAGTCGTGGTCACATTAAAAGGTACCCATAGTTAGAAAAACAATTGTTCAAAATCACATTTAAGCAGTTTTGAACAAGTCACTGTAATTTGTAACCTGTCTTATGCACGATCAAATTAGTCTACACACTAAGTTTAAGTTACAACATCAAGTTTTATATATTCTGTTTTAATTCGAGAAGCTAACGTTTTAAACTTTATGATATAATGAACAGTTCTGGCTCAAAACACCATCTTCTCAAAATAAAAATTGTTTTGTAACCTATTATTTTTTGAATCACTGTATTTATATTGCTTTCAGATGGAAGGAAGCCAGTTTTACAAGTTTCTGATCTGATAAAAGTGATTAGCTCCAACCATTAGAAGCAGTACTGCTTAACAACGGAGATTAATAAAATCTACAAATCATTAATATCACTAGAAGTTTTACATCAAACTCTAGTACGCTGCATTTTGAGCTATTTACACAAACTTGTATGTTTCAGTCTGAGCTACTTTCAAGATCTCATATGTTTCAGCCTGAGCTACTTACACAAACTTGTATGTTTCAGCCTGGGCTACTTTCAAGATCTTGTATGTTTCAGTCTGAGCTACTTTCAAGATCTTGTATGTTTCAGTCTGAGCTACTTTCAAGATCTCATATGTTTCAGCCTGAGCTACTTACACAAACTTGTATGTTTCAGTCTGAGCAACTTTCAAGATCTTGTATGTTTCAGTCTGAGCTACTTTCAAGATTTTATGTTTCAGTCTGAGCTACTTTCAAAAACCTGTATATTTCATTCTGAACTACTTTCAAGATTTTATATTTCAGTCTGAGTTACTTCCAAGATCCGGTTATAAAGAGTCCGATAACTTACCAGCCCTACAGTGGTTGCTCCTCCTTTGACTTTTTTGTCTCCGTTATATGTTTTAAAAAAGGTAATCAAGTGTTCTCTGGAAAACAAGGATGAAGATGTCAAGTTTTTTGGCTCAGCATATTCAGAAGTATTCTGACTTTGACCTTTCTTACAAATGCTACTGACAGGCTGATCTTTGACCTCTGAATTAGCACTCGTACTTTCAAGCTGCTCTTGACCTTCATTGGTGTAAAGATTGTTCAATGTATGATCTGTAGCCTCTCTATATCCAAGGTCATCTTGTGTTCTACTGGATGAGATGCCTTCAGTTTCTTGTGATTGTTCAAAACTAGTATTTACATCAGAAATCTGTCAAAAGGAATAATTTGACTATTAGCATAACAATAATATTCTAGGATTATAATTAATTTATTGAAAGTATTAATGTACAATACAATATGTACAAACCATCTAGCAACATCAACAGATAATCTAAAGACTCAAACAATGTTTCTCAACTGTTTTTCATTTCAACACAATTCAGACATCATTTTTGTCTAATTCTATCTAGAGTGAAGTTCTCACTTTATAAACCCTACAGTATCGTTCTATCTAGAGTAAAGAAATACTCAATGTTCTAACTTTATAAACCCTACAGTATCGTTCTATCTAGAGTAAAGAAATACTCAATGTTCTAACTTTATAAACCCTACAGTATCGTTCTATCTAGAGTAAAGAAATACTCAGTGTTCTAACTTAATAAACACTAAAGTATCATTCTATCTAGAGTAAAGAAATACTCAATGTTCTAACTTTATAAACACTAAACTATCGTTCTATCTAGAGTAAAGAAATATTCAATGTTCTCACTTTATAAACACTAAAGTATCATTCAATCTGGAGTAAAGAAATACTCAATGTTCTCACTTTATAAACACTAAAGTATCGTTCTATCTAGAGTAAAGAAATACTCAATGTTCTAACTTAATAAACACTACAGTATCGTTCTATCTAAAGTAAAGAAATACTCAATGTTCTCACTTTATAAACACTAAAGTATCGTTCTATCTAGAGTAAAGAAATACTCAATGTTCTCACTTTATAAACACTAAAGTATCGTTCTATCTAGAGTAAAGAAATACTCAATGTTCTCATTTTATAAACACTAAAGTATCGTTCTATCTAGAGTAAAGAAATACTCAATGTTCTCACTTTATAAACCCTAAAGTATCAATTAAATACTTCCTTTTCTTACCTCATCTGCATTTTGCTGAAGTGCTGAAAAGAAAATTGCTTTAACTCCAAGCTGAGTGAAATAGACAGCCCAAGCTTCCCTAAAAACAGAATAATCAGAATATAAAGAGTTTTAATGGATGAACTAGAGGTGACATGATACATTATTTACAGAAGTATTAACTATGATTCAGGTCAACAAGAATATCTTACTGTGAACATTTACAAAACCTTGAATTTTCTTGTTATATATATTACTCCTAATTTTAAATATGCTTTTATGAATTTATTTACAGACGACACATTGAGGTTCTTGTAACCTGAAAAAACTCTTGAAACATAGATTCTAACTCATAAATATATATATATATATATATTATATGTTATACACACACACACACCCATGTAGGTAACAGATACAAAACTATTGAAACATAGATTCTAACCCATATATATATATATATATATGTGTTACACACAAACACCCATGTAGGTAACAGATACAAAACTACTGAAACATAGATTCTAACTCATAAATATATATGTTATACACACACACACCCATGTAGGTAACAGATACAAAACTGTTGAAACATAGATTCTAACCCATATATATGTTATACACACACAAACACCCATGTAGGTAACAGATACAAAACTGTTGAAACATAGATTCTAACCCATATATATGTTATACACACACAAACACCCATGTAGGTAACAGAAGTGTATATAATTCTTCACAACATCATTCATTTACTATATATATATATATATATATTAAAACAATTTAGTATTTAGTTCAAACATAAGTAACACTATTAAAATATAATTTATTGCCACAATTAAATCTTCATAAGTAGAATTAATTCAAACCTAAAATGAAACAGTTTAGAGTACAGTACACATTTCGACTACGTGTAAACATTCCCTTCAGTGAGATGTATAATGTAAAATAGACAAGACAATTAACGGGATTTGTATACTTCTCAAAACAAGATATTTGAAGGCTTTCCCACACATTTTTTAAGGTACAGCAGCCAGACTTTAAGAAGCCACAATCTGAATTTAAGAGGATATCACCATCACATCAGATAGCTGTTAAAATAATGTTCAGATCTATGGATACAAATTTCAATAATCCCTTTCAGTCCACATTTGTTTGTGACAGAAACCTGTACAGTTTATTTTATAACAGAAATTCCAAGTCCCTTTATGGCACGTGACATCAGAAAGGGGTCCAACTTAAAGTAACCTTCAGATAAACTAACTTAAGACAGTTCTTCTTTTGACATAAATTGTAATTTTATGTATTATTTTGGCTGATCTCCAGTTTATTTTAGAGTCAAGTGTAGAAAAATAGCATTATTTGTTTCACCATTTTTAACATCTTTTTGGTGTTCCACAAGTCTGATATTTAAATTTCTACCTGTTTCAGCAACATAAACCTTTGTGCAGGATTAGCAGGGGACTATATAGGGTTAGAAATTATCAATGTTGTTAGGATATTTATAAACAACTTTGAAATTGTTATTTTTCATTTCTCTAAAGTCACAATATTAGAACTGTAGTTTACGCCAAATTCTATAAGCTCTTAAAAAAGCATTGAATTTGTAATTGATGTTTTGGACATTTGATGTTGGTACGAGAGGTAAAGCTGAAAGAGTTTGTTGTTTTTAGGTTTCTGCTCTAGTTATGAGAGCAGATCATTGGTTTCCTATTCAACTTCTTTAAAGTTTTCATGGTGTTAATGAATAAAAACAGACACTTTCAAATACTTAAGGGTTTACAAGAGTCAAATACATCTATAAAATATATTTATTTAAATTCAGTACTCACACTCAGCTACACAAGTTCTTTATTAGATCAAGGTCAACCAATCGCGTACGGGTTTTAAAAATAGTTACAATCCACATTTAACTCTAAATAATTACAACCAAACTAGACAAATATTACATATCTTACAGATCTGCTACTAACAGACACTTTCTCAAACCTTTGATCAGCAGTCAAGAAGTCAGCCTTGTTAATTAGGATTAAATTGTGCTTGTTTTCATCTATTTCTTTGACATACTGCTCGAGATCTTCAGAACGAAAAAGGAGAGGATTCCTGGCATCTACAATCTGTACTATAATATCACTGAAAGATATCCACAAAATATATCAGTTAACCATATCATTCAAATATATTCACCAAATATATCAGTTAACTATATCATTGAAATATATTCACCAAATATATCAGTTAACTATATCATTCAAAGATATTCATAAAATATATCAGTTAAC